TGGTTTAAATATCAATCAATATCTAATTATAATAAAAAATGTTCTTCCAAGAAAGGCTGAAAATAAATATTTAAAAGATATTGAAAGATAAATAGCTGTTCAATAATGTAGCTTTATATCGCAGCCAGGCGACAGTTAAGTCAATAAATTATTAATTTACAAAAACAACATGTCAAAAGATATAATGGCCGCTGTTGCTAAAAGAACAGGGAATTTTAACCAGTAATTGATTATCAATAATACAACACTTAGCTTTGCAAGTATCCATAAAGTTTTTAAATTTAATGGATAAACAATATTGAAAAAAATCTCTATATCATGGTTCCAACAACTTTTTTATCTTAAATAAAAAACAAAAGTGCAACCACTGAAATTTTTAGATTACATACAGAACATTTTATAGCGTGTCCGGGTTTATTGGAATATATGTTTATAATGTAATGCGGATGTCTTCCAAAAAAAAATCAACGTGTTTTTTAACGGAACCACTCAAATTAGAGCGCTACATATAGTACATGCAAAATAGAAAGACTTTTTTAAAAGAAAGATGTTAATGTTTTCAAACTATGAATTCTGCCAAATCAAATGGTCAAAGTTGGAAATATTAAATGTTGAAATCATCAGCTTGCAAAGATTATAGAAAATATATAAATATTATATATATAGGGTTATCCCACATCATATTAGATATATTAGATTATAGAATATATATATATATATGTATATATATATATATATATACATGGTTGTCCCACATCATATTAGATCGTTTATAGCTCTAAATTGTGATTTTAGAAACTTATTAGAAGATTTAAAAACAATGTATAATTTTTTAAAAATGTATAAGACTATTAAAAAAAATATGTTGGTAAATACTAGGTTTTTCGAGTAATTAGGTTTAAAGCTTGGAAATAATCTAATATGATATGGGATACACGCTCTGTATATATATATGTATGTATATAGTTATTTTGGAAAACTTTAAAGAATTGGTGACCGTAGAATTACTGGACTGGGTTAGCCATTGCCTGCATAGACATAGCCATTAGCCAAAACCAGATATAACAAAGTTAATGTTTGAAAAGAATAAGTTTTCAAGAGAAGTTTGCAATTAGAATACATTCATACAAGAGTTTCTGAATTTAATTTCCTTTTACCACATTTTCTTATCTTTCTTAAATAAAAATGCACTCATTACATTTCTTCTTTTAAAATTCAAACTATTGTTTGAATGGAAGAGTTTGAAAAAAAGAAAAGAAAAAAAATTAGCTCATACTCTGGGGCGTATATAAGGATTTTCTAAGGGGGGGTTAAGTTTATCGTTTTACATGCGCACCGATTTTTTAACCCCCCCCCCTTTGTTCATGAACAACCCCATTCATGATTTATATCAAATTATGGGTTTTAGCAGGGTTTGATTTCAATTTACCAATCATTTCTGGGATTAACAAACTCTATCAAATGAAAGGTTTCCTTAACCACCTTTCAGCTTTCAGCTTCCTTAATTTATATCCTAAAGGTTGTCCACTGTAAATCTAGACTTTTTTAAAAGCTTACAAAATAGCAAATCCACCAATATGAAAAATCCGCGATGATCAGCTTCATGTGCCCTGAGAACAAATTAGTTGCAGTGTTTTGAAGAATATTCATCATAACGAAGATTAAGGTCACGGCCCGCTTATATGTATGCTTCTATCTACCGATCTATACTATTCTGGGCTAGTGTACATGTAACTTTGTCGGTGGGCTACGCAGCTGTTATATCTCAGTGGACCCTAGATATTTTTAGGAAATTTCTAAAACCTCTTCATAGCAAATTTTAGGTTTTACTATAACAAATTTTTATTCTGGCTATTGTTCATTCTATAAAAATAATTTGTACTTTTAAAAAAGTTTGAACACCCCAGCGAAAAAATTACATCAAACCTTGATTATGATATATCCATCTATTATATATCCATGATTAAGGTCATGAAAGATGAGTGGATGCAAATGCTTTTTGGTAGGTTCTTCATTAAAAACTACCATGCCAATTATAATTCATATTTTCCCCTGAAAGTTAATGGCCTTACTGGAAAAAAATATTTTTATACGTGCATTGAGACTACCTAGTGTTTCTAATGAAATTTGTCCTAAGTCAAAATCCAATCTGCAGCGTGAATTTAAAACTGCATGAGTGAGAGCGTTTCTCTATTTAAAGTGGACACCTTTATGATATATTCACGAATTACATTGACTACATTTTTTCTGTAAAAAAAACTGGATTTATTTCAACCATTGTGCATATATTATCTTTATATATGCATTTATGTTAATTTTACTATATTAAAAGAGAAAAATTTTCTTACTTTTTAAAATTTAATCCTTAATAATCTTGATCTTTGAACTTTTTATTTTTGCCCCCCCGGAAGAACTTTATGCCTAATTTGACATAAATTGCAAATAAGCTACTGCATTAAAAAATCGATTTTTGCGCCAAAAAATTTGTTTATATTTTTTCTCTTAATGGTAATCATGGACATGGAGACTGGAGATCAAGTTTCTTAACGGGGATATTTATGTCTCCAAGATTCTAGTGGGGATTATTAAAACTTTGCCCCCCCCCCCCCCTAGGAGCTCTAATCTCGGATATCAGTCATAAATATAAGAAACTTTAATGGTTCACATTCAGCCCAATTACCTTGCATATACTATGCTTTATCTCTCCTTCAAACGAAACTACCAGAAAAAAAGTAAAAGTTTCTGTTGTGAAAAAAAAGTAGGAGTACAACTGTAATCTTTATAATAAACCTCTTCTTTCATTTATATTCTTGCTATGGCTGGCCAAATGGCTGAATAAAATGGGCTGAATTTTAGTGAGGAAACTTTATAAAATTTTTGTTTTGATTCGATTTTTAAAATTCCGTGGGCAACGCCAGGCACTTCAGCTAGTTTGTAATAAAAAAGATTACAAAACGGAAGTGCAATGAATAAAATAAATCAAATCCAAATTTTAAAAAAAACAAAAAATGGTCTTTTACTTCTCCAAACTTAAGTCTTCGTGGCTTCGCATTTAAAAATAATTGTTTTACTTCGATATATCCCTGATAGTGCCCATCCGATTAGGATGAATGTCAATTCTTTATAGATTTTTTATTCGGACCGCTGTCAGGGCAAGGTTATAACGCAAGGAAAGTTAATTGCAGTTGCGTATACTAGCTCTGCGTACATATTGAAACCCGTTCTTTCTGTGCGGAATTTGTAAACAAGAATAGATGCATCAGTGTTCGTTTAGTATTAAATTTTGATAATTTTGATAATTCATAAAATTGTTTCCTACGACCAGAATATTTCATTGATTTTTATGTGAAAGATGAATGCCATGTCAGGCTTCGACATCCGTCTTGTGTTTACATTACCGCCCAGAGACAGTACACTGCAGCACGAAAGATGCGCACACATATGAAATAACTTTCCTTGCATTATAACCTTGTGTCAGGGTGGCTCTGGTCTACAACCTTCTTAGTTCACTGAATGAACATCAAACTATTTTTTTAATGTTCTTCACTCTTCAGTTTAAGATTTAAAAGGTGTGAAAGCTCTGAGTTCTANGATAACCCCAGGTACACTGTACAGTTAGGTTATATCAAAGATGTTTAATTCATGTTTTAAGGAACTGTTACTTATCTAATGTTGGATTACCGTATGAGTAGAGCATAATGTAACCAACAAGGCCTGATTTTATATATCGGTCCTTGTTGGAGCAGACCCAACATTTGTGTGTTCTAGAATATTGGAAAGTGAACAATCCCTTTAAAGAATACTGATTTGATTTATTGGCAGTATTGATGATTTATTACATTAGACTCATCAACTCTTTTATATCTTTGTTGGAGTGCCATCCCCTCGGATGATGACACGCATCAATCAGTTGTCTAATTTATGTTCAACTACCCGATTATAATTTATCCGTTCCCGATGCGCGCAACCTCTCGTTGTCATGCCGTGTTCTATTCAGCATTTTACAGAGAAGCAATACAAAATGTTCAATGCACTAAAAAAAATTATGGTAGAAATAGAAAGTTGAAAAAAAAATTTAAAAAATTATGACACTTACAATTAACTATTAGATACTACAGTTTCATTTTATATTCGAAATTTTTTTTTTAAATCCATGACATAACAAACGTCAAATAGTGTATAGACGCTCGAATTCTGAACGAAAAATCGGCTTTTTCTTTGGCCACAGTTGTCTATTTAGTTTACCCCAAAATTACCCAAATAAGTGAACGGTCCCTTTAAGTCAAAGGAATGTTATCGCTATATATTGATATTTTATGTGCGCTGCATAATTCTTCTTTAAAGTTGAATTGGTTCTGTCTAACACATAATTATTATAGTTTTTTAACTGATTTATTTCAAAATTTTCTGATAGTTCCTGTGGATTAAACGCAAAGCGTAGAAAGGTTTATGATAATATTTCTTTTTAGTTTAATATTTTTACCATGGTTAAATGTATTTACTATAGATACTTATTTAATTTTTTGTTATTCTTTGGTTAAACACTTATATTCATATCCGCGTATTGATTTATTTTGTATTTTCCAATTAGGCATTTGTTCCAAATAAATGTATTCCAAAGCATTGGAATCATTTTTTTGGTAAAGCGTCCAAGTCTCTTTCTATTTAATTGGAACATTGTAAATATAAAAATTCCAACAATAATAGTGTCTGTGTGTATATGTCTTAAAGATTTATATTTTGCATAAACTATGACAGAATTATCTAATTTTAAGATAGAAAACGATGTTTCTCAAAATTGACTGAAGTGCCGTAATTAATTTATACACATTTTAAATTTTATTTTCACTTTAAAAAGATTTACATATTTCTAAAAAGAATATGCTACATTAATCAAAGTAGATCTCGTCCCGAAATTTACTAGTTTAAGGATTTCTAATATCTTATTCGTGGATTTCTTTCTTGAAGATGAAGACGACTATATAGTATCTAATATTTAGGATGAACCTATCCTAGAGCTGACCTACCTGCGAACCTCCAAATTGTACATCATGTACTACCACAATTGGGCGCGACTAAGTAAGAATAAATCATATTCTTAAAGTTTTACATTTTCAAGTGATATGTGAGTTTATAAAATCCAGAAGAAACAAAAACAGTGACAAAATTAATTTTCTTTTAACTTTTTCTGCCATCAATGTTTTGCATGCGTATTCTCAATATATCAATAAGCCTATACCTATATTTTAGTTAAAATATTGAGTATCCATATAATATAAAGTTATATAGAGTTTTCTCATCATAAATTCGACAGATATCTTGTTTTTTTCTTTTTTTGTTTGTTAAGATTTAAACTTTCATATAATTCTGGGATATATTTTCTTTAAATATAAAGGACATCTCTTTTGCTATTACTTTTGCAATGTTAGTTTAAGAGGTTGGATGCGTGGGGTTTTAGTGCAAATCGTATATATCTATCTATCTATCTATCTATTTATCTATTTATCTGTCTATTTTTCTATTTATCTTTCTATTAATCTATTTATCTATTTATCTATTTATCTATTTATCTATTTATCTATTTATCTATTTATCTATTAATATATATGGACAATTTTTCAAAATCAAACACTCTCAGTTTCAGTTGAAACAAAAACTTTTTAACCAAATTTTCTGTTTATTTAACCATCTTCATTCTTCATAAATATATATGAAGGGGTTTATTGATTGAATCTATCTATCTAGTTGTACTGGGAATACTACCTATATCAGTAATCGGGTATCTCAACGCAAAAATCTACCAAGCAGTCAGGTAATAATCTAATAATCAGCTAGAAAAAGTTTTTTAGTTTGATTCTTAGGCTTTTTATTCTGTTAAAAGAAAATTGCCTGCATTACGATGCTAAATTGCAGTTACTGGAAATCCACATTTTGGAAATCCATGTTTAAAATTTCGAAAATGGATTATTTTGATTTGTCCTTTCTCTATAAAAGGTAATTGCGGATTCTATTTCATGTAAAAATTGGGGAAATTGTTAGAATTAATCTGAGTTTTTAGCAAGAATGGTTTTGACTGACTGTCTATTATCAAGGAGAAGGAAGGGTGGCAGGAAGCGCCATGACGAACATCTTAGCATCATCCTTATGATGATCGTTCTCACATTCGTCCTCTGCAACCTCCCTCGTCTTCTGCTGAACATGCACGAACTAGTCGTTCTTGAGCTCATTGGTAAACTAAATGATAATAATAATATTAATAATAACAATAATAATAATAATGTAATAATAATGATAACAAGTTGAAGTGCCCAGCGTTGCCCGCGGATTTTTTTAATATTAAAAAAAAATATTAATAATAATAATAACAATAATATTGATAATCATAACAGTAATAATAATAAAAAATCAATGATAACAGTGATAATAATAATACTCTAGATGAATGCCGAGATACCCAGTTGATGGGGTTCCCAGTGTGGAGTGTAATTATAGGCTTCATTAGCCAGGTTTTTATCTTTTAATTAATTTAATCAAATTTTAATTTTAAATGTAAATTGATAAACAACAAAATGTTTGTATCTGTGAATTGATTAATTAATTAAAGTAGAAATAACGAATGAATATGAAACAGTACAGGCGTTTAAATATTTCACTTCGGACTCTTTGGCCACCTTGTATAATTGTACTGAACAAATCAAATATAAAAGTCCAAAGTTTAAATTAAGTGTATACAGGACTTTAGCCAGGGGGTGACACGATTTTTTTGCCCCCTGGCTGTTAGGGGTGGGGGCGAAATCAGGTTTGCTCCCCCCCCTAGTTATTAAAAAGCTAGCTAGCTAACTTGTATACATACATACATACACCCTTATGTGTATATATGAGCAAAGAGCTTTATTATATATAGACTAGACTTAGAGGGTGTTTCGTGTCCCTTTTCTAATTAAAAAATAACTTCCATTACGCTTATAAAGTCGCCTTTTTTAGTTTTTCTCAAATTTTTCTATTTAAATTGGCAAATTTCCTGAAAAAGGTCAGCATTGCTTCCGGTCTAACTTTGTTGACGTAAAAATTCGGGGTTGATCGGTTCAGCCGTTGTTACATTTTTTTTGCATACAAACGGACGGACAGACAAGCAAAGTAAATATATATATAGATAAAAACCTACCAAATAAAAAGCTATAGAGGGAAGTAGGTCCAGGAACCCCCAGAAAGAAAAATCTGTATTATAAATGTTTGATCAGGTTCTACTGTGCATAAACTCATCTGCAAACCTGATTATCTACTGCTGTCTAGGCGCTAAGTTCAGGTAAATAGAAAAACAAAATAGAGGATGTTTTTTGTGGATTAGAGTTAATTTTGAACGCTTGATTTCAATATTCAATATGAACACTTTTAATGCTCAAATAAAGTTTTCCTTACAGGGTATGACCACCTCGGAATATTGAATAGGAATTAAATCACGCCGTAGGTCTGTATAAGATGTGGATATCATGTGTGCTTAATCCCGAGATTTACAAAGTTCAGAATTTAATCCATTCATTTTCTAATCCCCATATCTTAGCAAACCCACCGTAGTATGATTCTAATATTCTAATTTTGAAGCATGACATGTTTTCACAATCAGGTTGTCCAGATATTGAGATAAAACGATGCACTTAAATGTTTTGATCGAAGGCAACCGTGGTTTTAGGTTTCCTTGTAAAAGCAAATTTCCTTGAAAGTATTGGATCATTTGTTTGTTTTATATACATTTGCATTATTCGAAATAAAATATTTGATAATACTAGAAATTCAAGGCGCTTCGCGCCCTTCTTTCTAGCCTTAGAGGGCGCTTCGCGCCCATCTTCTAAATTAGTTGTGAACATGTTCTCTTTGTGTACATCGTAAAACAAAACAAAAATAATTCGCGGATTTTTACAAAAAATTTCGCGGATTTTCAAAATTTTTAAAAATTTAATGACAATCGAATTTTGATAGAGACAAATATTTGAAATTTTGATTTTTCATAAACCTTCCCTGGGGTCCCTAGATGTCCCACAAAAATTTGGGCCCGATAGGTTCAGCCGTTTTGACGTTTATTGGATACAAACAAACAAACAAACAGACAAACAAACAGACAGACAAGCCAAATTTATATATAGATATATTATACTACGCATATACATATATTCAATTTGTATAGCAATTTATGACTGTATTCCGAGCATTTACAAAAAATATTTTTACACAATTTATTGAAAAATGTTAAAAAGAAAAATGTTAAAGAATATTTTGTTGTAACTTTACATTTACAATATGTTTAAGGGTTGGCAAACACTGTGGGTAAATAAGAAAATATATTGGACTTTTCGATCAGTTCTTTAAAGGGACTGTTTACGTTATTTTGATAAGGCTCCATATCCAATTCAGTAATATGCACTCAACATCTTTGTCTGATCAAGGGTGAATGAGATGTCTAATTTGCCTAACTAAAAATTGATTATTTTAAATTGTGGTTTCTCTGTATGACTTTGGAATTTATTCAGCAATCAAAGTTGTGAATTGGGCTTGCAACTCTTTGGAGGATAAATTGAAATAACAGCGACAATCCCTTTAACAAACAAGTTTTATAAGCTATATTACGTGTAAACTTTAATGGCTGCAGATCCCAGCAATATTTTTTAATCAAAATTTTTAGGCAAATATTCAAGAGTTTAAATTTTACATATCATTAGAACCAACATATAAATATATCATCTATTTTAAGCATGACAAATTTGAAAAAAGTTTTTATCGGCCATTAAACTTTTAAACAGTTTGAACAGTTGTCCAATACAAATCTGTCATTTAACTTTTGGGACATTTTTTTAATACCCTTAATTATAATTTTAAGGAAATATATTTTTGGAAAACTATCGCTCTTGAGAGTCACTTTAAATTGCATATACTATATAAATATAATATACTAGAAATTCAAGGCGCTTCGCGCCCTTCTTTCTAGCTTTAGAGGGCGCTTTGCGCCCATCTTCTAAATTAATTGTGAACAATGTTCTCTTTGTGTACATCGTAAAACAAAACAAAAATAATTCGCGGATTTTCACAAAAAATTTCGTGGATTTTCAAAATTTTTAAAAATTTAATGAATATCGAATTTTGATTGAGACAAATATTTGAAATTTTAATCATTCATAAACCTTCCCTGGGGTCCCTGGATGTCCCACAAAAAATTTGGGCCCGATCGGTTCAGCCGTTTTGACGTTTATTGGATACAAACAAACAGACAGACAAACAAACACCCAAACAGACAGACAAGCCAAATTTATAGATAGGTATATATACATAATTTATACATCTATATATAAATTTGGCTTGTCTGTCTGTTTGTTTGTTTGTTTGTTTGTCTGTTTGTTTGTATCCAATAAACGTCAAAACGGCTGAACCGATCGGGCCCAAATTTTTTGTGGGACATCTAGTATAATATATACATACAATATATGCATATAATATATATACATGTAATATATACTTATAATATACACATATAATATATACATATAATATATACACACAATATATGCATATAATATATATACATGTAATATATACTTATAATATACACATATAATATATACATATAATATATAAAATATATTTCGCACAACATTAAAAAAAATCCTTTCAGGGAAGTGACACTTCGTTACTTTTGCCGATCATCTCGGGATTGTCGCTGTCTACATTCTACAGAGGAATGCTTATAACCATTTTTTATGAAACATTATGCACATTATCATTCATGCTCAGATCATGATTAGTTTCATTGCAGCAGGCAGTTCTAGAAACCCTTTTACACTGGGAGGTCTTATTGTTTTTTACTCCAGAAAGCAATGAGCTTTTTAAACAAATTAATCTGACTAAAATTTAAAAAATTACTTATTTTGCAAATCAGATAAAAGAAACTTAAATACGAAAACGTACAAAATTGGCTTCCCAAACAAACGAAAAAAAGCAAAAAATGGCTTTTTTGTATTTTTAGATTCCATCAAGAATTGTTTTCTCATTTCGAAACTATATACACTGTACTATTGAGTTTTATTGGTTCCCAGACTTCCTTAAAACTCATGAAAATGCTCATGAAAAGATAACATTTTTAAGATAGTTTTAAAGATAGTTGTACCTTCGTCCAAGAAGATGGAATAGTTGATCATTTGTTTATGAATTAGTGAAAAGTTTCTTTTGTTTTTGCATCTATTATTTTCCAATTCTTACAAAAAACTTCATGAAATTTTAAATTCTATTCAAATTTTGAGTTTATTGTGCCATTCATATTTTGATTCAATACTTCTCTTCAAAATAATTCTCAAAATTCTGAAGTTTAAATGAATCAAGCACAGTGAGCTTCACTATAAATGAAGCAAGTCCTTAGACAAATTTGGGAAAATACAGCTCGGGTCTAAGCTATCTCTAGGCCTTATTTACGACTTTCGGATTCAAGCTGCATCTTATTTTCCACAGAGTTGAGTTTAAAAAAGCCGGTTTAATATTCTATTTGGCGGATTTTCATGGTAGAAATTGACGCATTCCGGGTTTTAATGAGAACAAGACTCAAGATTGAGCCTTATTCTCCACTAAAACCAACCAAGATCGGTTTTAGTCCTTAAGTCGAGCCGAAGATCTTGCAGCTGCTAATCACGTGACACACGCTGTCGTCAGAGTTGGGTCGAAGATTGGGTCTTAAAGTCGCGTTTAAGAAATTACGGCTCGAGCCGGAGTTTTTAAATCGCGGGCTCCAGTGGGCTCAAATTTAAATAAACCAAACACAGTGGGCTTAAATTTAAATAAAGCAAACACAATGGGCTTAAATTTAAGTAAAGCAAACACAGTGGGCTTAAATTTAAATAAAGCAAACACAGTAGCCTTACATTTAAATGAAGAAAACACAGTGGGCTTAACTATAAATAAAGCATACACAATTGTGGGTTTAAATATGATATGTTGAAAGTAAGCAAAGTGGGCTTAAATAAAAAAAGCAAGCACAGTGGGTATAAATATGATTGAATCAAGCACAGTAGGCTTAAATATAAATGAAGCAAACACAGTGGGCTCAAATAAAAATAAAGTAAACACAGTGAGCTTAAAATGTTATAAGTTGATACTCGAGGAGGGAGGAAGATGTAAGAACTGTGGAATACAACGTGGCGCTCTAGATACGGCCAGGTAGGCATCATGTTTTAGGATTCTAATTTGTGTAAACTTTTATCCTTATAAAGGGACTGTTAGCGTAATCTTAAGTGACTCTCCAAGCAAAGATGTCAATGCCCGAATCACAACGATAGCCTTAAGCGCTTTGTCTGATCATGGACAAGAAGAAAACATATCAAATCACTTTCCACTTGCCAAACTACAAATGATCAGACTTTATTTTCTTTCATTACAATGTATTTTGCAAAGAAAGGATCCACTATCTAAACAAAGAAAGGATCCACTATCTAAGCAAAGTTGAAAATGATAGGGTAAATCCAAAATCTCAGATGCATCTTTTGGAAGTTTAGGTTCTTAGTATCAATGTAAAACTTTTTAATTTCAATTGTGGCTTCACGATACAAGTGACTTTTAGACACTTTTAAGCCTAGTAAAAAGACAATATCTTTCACATTTTGATCAGACAAAGGTTTCAAGGGCACTGTTGTAAATTAAGCATTTCCAAATTGCATGGAGGGTCACTTCAAATTATACTTACAGTCCTTTTCAGCGGTTTTTAATTTCTTCCCTGATTTTTCTGTTATTTAAACAATAAGCATGATTTAAAAAGTTCTACATTTTTATATACTTTTGTTTTGTGATATAACTGCATTTTTATTGATAAAGTGACTCTATGAGGCTTAATTTTAACGGACCCAGCAATTATAAAGTGGCATTTCCGCTTGACAACGGCACCCTTAAAAGCTTTCTCTGATCAACGATAAATATACATTCTTGAAAAAAATTGGTTATTCTAAATCGTTTTTTATTCTTTTGCGCATTTCTTGTTCACTCCTCTTTAAAGAAGGTTATTTAAAATTTCATAGACAGACCCTTTATTATTCAATTAATTTTTCTAGAGTTTCTAGCACACACCGTCCTGATAAACAGCTTTGTGTCATCGGAAACCTTCAAGGTAATTATATTTATCTCTTTTCTTTCCTGTTATATATTGTCTTGTCGTATTCCGTCTTTTTAAATCTAGTCCTGAATTTTTTCTACTTAATCCATCCCTGTCGTATCCTATCCTATACTGATTTGTTCTAACCTAGCCAATCTTTTTATCCAGCCCTAACTCTTTTCTCCTGTACAACCCTGCCTAGTATTTGTTGAGAACGGATGTTAGAGAAAAGAATGTTTCTTTTCAAGTTTCTTTTCAAGTCCTGATTGGATAAATATCCATGGAAGATTAAGAACTGGTTTTGCAACCACAAATCTAAATGGTTGGTTGCACTGCATGTTGTTCGGTAATAATTCTATAGTAAAGGTCGAAGGTTCTCTTGTTGAGTTTTAAAAACTTATCGTTATGTCTGAATATCACATCAGTGTGTTCGAATATCCTATTGTAGAGTTCGAATGTCCTATTGCTGCGTTCGAAAATCCCTTTGTTGTTTTCAAATTTCCAAAGGTGTATTCGAAAAAAATTGAGATCTATAGATCGAACTATATCTTTAAGAAAGAACGGAAACACTTTTAACTTATCGTTCAGTTGGTATGCTAGCTATTTCAATCAACCGTTAACCCTATTCCTGCTGGGGGGGGGTCAATTTGACCCCCCCCCCCCGTAGTTTTTTTTACATAACTCAAAAAGTATTGGTCTAAGGCTGTTGAAATTTTCTGACTTTTCCTACATAACAAAAGCCCTGCCTTTAGGCCTAAAACCGGGCTTTAATACTAACTGCCTGAGTCCTCAGGCACACTGCCTGAATGACTGATTTTTCCTGTAACAAACAAAATCTTTGTTTTGACCCACTTTCACTTGTCAAATTTTGATAAAATTTAGCTTTTTGGAAAGCCTATGACATAAGGAAACAGATTGCACAAGTTTTGCGAAAAAAAATTGCAAATTTTTTGCAAACAACCTGTCACAGTTTCCATTGATTCTAATTTGTCTGAGAGTAAATGACATTCCTATTTAAAGAGGGGATTCAATGATAAACCCGAGGGCTTGCGGATTTTGCGGATTTTCAAAGTATCTTTCAATGAAAATATCCCGGCGGGATTAAATGAAAATTGTTGCATACCAAAAAACCAGCTTTTTATAAAGGAATATTGATTTATTGGGGTTTTTTGCGAACCCATCATTTAAACATGAAAATCCGCAAACATTTTATTTTATTGGACTACAACAAAAAATGACGACTTGAAAAGCAACATTAAAAAGCTAAAATTATAAACCTCCGTACCTACTTCTGATTAATCATACAGAAAGGATTATGGTCATCCCACATTTTCCAATATATGATTTACTTTAAAAGTTCTGAAAAGTGTAATCTGGAAATTCATTGTTAATTAATTAGCTGAAATTAGTTTGGAAGATTCTCTGAAAAATTACTCTCCATTGATTTTTTTCATTACTTTTACAGAACTTAAAAAATAAAGCTATGTTTTGTTCAGATTTGATTCTTCAGAAAGGGATAGATTCTTTGCCACAAGTTCAAATTTCTCATCTCGATATCTTTGCAACCTGATGGTTGGTTGATAAGTCAAACTTAGATTATTTGAACTAACAGAATTTATAGTTTTAAATATCTAAGATCTAGGACATCGGGTTGCAAAGATATATGTTTTAGAAGATCAGAGTTTGTGGCACGGACTAAATTTCCTTTGTTTCATTTTATCGTTTAACTTATGAACCCAATCATGTAAAAGTATGCTTGAATTTTTCAATTTTAAATATTATTTTTTATACATTCTATCATTTTGATATACCTTTAACAATTTTTTTAGGATAACGGCACCAAACACTTAAACAATTTAGAAAAGAACGCTTCACATTCACATGTCTCTCCCTAACCCTGCTTAATTCAGTCTCCCCCTATCCCTGCTGGCAACAACATATCTCTGTGACTCTCTCTCTCTCTCCTAGCATGATACCAGCTGACCCTGCTGTTGCTGCGGAGGGGAGTTTAAAACACAAACAATGAGAATTTCACATAAACTCTTTAAAGCTTAAACTGTGGACTAAAAAGACGAAGAAGAATTTTTCTCGTTTTCTCAAGTTTCTCGACCCGTTTACAGGAGAAGGAGAAGAAACAGAGGTGTGATGTCAACCCTGAAGGAAGTGAGACTATCCCACCAGGATGTGCAGTCTCCCCTGAAGGAAGTGAGCTCCCCTCTGAAAGAAGTGCAGTCTATCATATGAATCATTTAGTAAAAAAGTAAATAAATAATGTAGTTTTTTCCAATTATGAAAGTTGTAAAATTGTAATACAATTGTAATATTTTAATCACTGCTACAAAATAAATATTTAGACTTAAAAACATTGAAACCATTCAAACTATGGAATTGGAAGACAACTTTTAGACTTAAGTTATGATTTTGGATAATACGATGAACATGAAACACTGTACCGGTGCAGTGTACGCCAGGTGTACACAGAGCCATTTCAAGCTTTTGCTTTATAATATCAGCAAATAAACATAAAAATACTAATATTTAATTCAGAGATTTAGATAGATCGAACTGCGTAACCGGTCATTTCCGATAGATGGAACATTACGACAGGATTTCTAACATACATCCAAAATTTAAATAATCTATTTAATAAAGCTGTTGCATAGCTGAACTAACGTCTGAACCAAATAAGAGGATTTAAAAAAATGGTCTATTCTGGAGGTAACATAGGCTAACACTTTTTTTATTGTTTTTGAAATTCCACGGGCAACTCCGGGCACTTCAGCTAAAATCATACTTTAATACACTGCGGGTACACTTCGGGAGTAACTATGACTAAAAATTATAATACAAACCTGGGAAACACCAGGTGCTCCAGGTGCTCCAGGTGCTCCAGGTGCTCCAGGTGCTCCAGGTGCTCCAGGTGCTCCAGCTAAATATACATATTACAGAAATTGATGAACTATACATCATGCATACATTAAATCTTAATACATCTGAAATGTTACAACATTGATTCTTTTTTATTCCATAATCTGACATTTTCAAAAGTTGCCTGATGCAACAATAATGATAAACTGTTCTACATAAATCATGCCTGTATTAAAGTATTTATTTGGCTTGTTCTTTTTGTTGGTTTGGATGCAATACAAGTAAAAAAGAGGGACGATCACATCCAATATTCTGTTTTTTTTTGTGAAATCCACCAATACAAGTTTTTACAAAATTTGACATTTTTATTGTTAATATGAGGTCAAGAAGGACAGACAAAGTTTAAAGCATCTTTTACTACCTACCTGGTAATTATCTTTTTTACAAATTGTAGTACGAGGAAAACCTATCTAAAAAAACAAAATTTAAAAATTTAAAGATATTTATTAATACTGTTAATAATGAAAAAAGGTGGCGCGTTTTCTCCTGTTGTTCTATAAATCCGTCACATTTTCTTCTCTTGGTTCTAGATTTCTGTGCTGAATCTCTGTGTTAAATATCGACTTTTTCTGTCTGTAACAGCTCAGTTTTAAGTTTTACATTTGTTTTTCAATAAAATGTTTAAAATCCACCTTTTCCCCCCTGTACGTGTAACTTATGGCAGGCTTGATATTTAAAAAAAACAAGTTTTGGCATCTTCTTTAAACCATGCTTTTATTTTCCTTTTTATCTAAAAAGTAATTAAATTTAACAATTTACTTCTTTGGGTCTAAACTACATCAATCCGCAAGTTATTTTCAATAAAAGAGTCATGCTGAAATTATCAACTTTCAAATAAATAAAACAAAATATATTTAATATTGCTCAGACAAAGATTATAAGGGTCCCATTGTAAATCGGGCATGACTTTCTTTTTTCTAAATGGTTAGCCATTCAAATTACAACGACAGTCCCGTTAAAATTTGTTTAAAGGGTTTCAAAAGTTTGTTATTTAGAAGTACGTGAGATCGGTGAGGAAGAAATCCCTCTGCACACTTTCCAGAACAAAGTCAGGTAAAAGAGAATTCAGTAGTTGAACTAGGTATGGCGGTTAAACTAGGTATGGCGGTTGAACTAGGTATGGCGGTTGAACTAGGTATGGGTTGAACTAGGTATGGCGGTTGAACTAGGTATGGCGGTTGAAATAGGTATGGTGGGTGAACTACTATCTACTTCATTTTGGTCACAAGTTAATCCTTGTAAAACTTTTCGAATTCAAATTAGAAAAAGAAAAGAGTGGAATAATTTAAGAATTTATGTTAACACATAGTTTTAACCAGAGTCTAAAACTAAAGAACGAAAAGTTTTGACTTAAATTTTAAGTTCATGGTTAAATGCCACTTCTGACTTCATTTAATCCTGAACTTTAACCGTGAAGTTAAATATTTAACCCTGTGGTTAAATATTTAACTCGCCGAAATCGACGAGTTAAAATTTAAACACAGGGTTAAAATCTTGAAATCCAGCAATCCCTATTTGCCTATCATCATTCTTGCAGCGGTAAGCGGCATTCAATTAATTATGATATATTTAAAAGTAAAAACCTTGATTTAATGAATTTCACGTTTTAGATTAATTAATGTTTGCACGTAAACCCAAAATACGGTTGTAACTGGAAATATGTTTTGTTTTCCGTCACGTAAATAATTTAAAATTTAAAAATCAGCTGATTACCAATAGTTACGTAATAATTCTTTTCTCTGATTGGTTCAGATTTTCCCGGGAAATTCAAATTTAAAATTGAGAAAGTTTAATATTTAAGTAGCTATTCATTATTTTACAGAACTTTTAACCCCGAACTTAAAATTCGCGCATTCTTTAGTTTTAGACTCAGGATTCCGTTGTGATTTAAAAAGTATTTAGTTTCTTAAAAACTGAAATTATGCTGACGTACAGCCCCTTTAAAGGATAATAAACAACACAATGAAAATATCAAATAAACACAACAAAAAAATTATTGAAAAAATATTTTAGCATGAACAATACGAAGACTACAGTAGGAGGGTCAAAGGGAAAACGTTCGGTAAGAAGTTTACTCTAAAATTAAACTTATTTTGATTAAATTTTTATAAGAAAAATTGAGCACAAGTTTCGTGTCAATTTTTGTTTTATTTTAATAACTTTGAAGCCCGAATTTAAAAAAAGTTTTTAATTAGAAACGCTTTTTTGCGGTAAATGCAACCTGGACACTTCTACTTAGATTAAAAATATTTTTATTTTACATTGCTAAATTTTATTTTGACACTTTTAGCTTAAGTACGAGTCTGGGTGTTCTACAACTACAAGTCAGATCACCAACATCTAATGGAATTTAGATCAACGACACAAAACAACTCAACTTTTTGATCAACGACACAAAACAACTCAACTTTTAGATCAACGACACAAAACAACTAAACTTTTAGATCAACGAAACAAACAACTCAAGTTTGGTTAGGTCAAAAAAAAAAAAAAAAAATTCTGGAAATTAACAAAAAGATCTTTGCTTCCTTAATTAAAATCAAATCACAGCTCAGACTACATTCAAAACATAAATTGATCACCGACATTTACATCATAGATCAAGGACATTGAAATCTGCAGATCATCGATATCAAAGAGAATCTTGTCAACCCTCTTCTCAAAATGAATGAAGCGTGGATGGATGAATGTGCTGCCAGATTACAACCCCTGGTAGATCAATACAAAACCCCTACAACACCAAACTTTCGCAATAGAAAAATTCCGAGATTTGATCTTAACAACCCGATTATGTCCTGGGGACAAAAACATCTCTTTTAAAAAGATATCAAAGAAATGATAGCTTTAAAAACTGAAAATTATGAAAAATACCTAAATTGTTTCCTGTTTCAACGACTCTAAAATCTGTATAATGTTATATAGATAATTTATTTAAACATTTTTCAGAGCATTAGGAATTTGTCAAAATAACTGTTGAAAATTAGCAAAATTGAAATATCGTCAAATTGTAGAAAACACAAAATTTTCATTTAAATACAGTATTGAAGCTTTAACACTAAAACAAAAAGAATAATATGTTCTAACCAACTAAATATGCCACCCCCCCCCCAAAAAAAAAAAAAAAAAAATATGTAATCCTGTCTTAATGTTGTTATGGTGTGAAATTGTAGCATAAATATTTTAATCTAAATTATTCAAATACTTTTAATGTTGAAAAGTTAGACAAATATCACCTGATAGGAATCCAACATATGTGTTATGAATTAAACCTAAAGCTGTCTAAATAAAGATATAAATTATATTCGAAAAAAGGACGAAAAAATCGTGAATTAAAATAAATATTTATTTTTATTGTTCTCAAAATTAATGTTGACTGTGTTCGAATTTAAAGAATTTAAGCCGCGTCTAAAATCCCCCAAATATTGGTTTCCATTGAGCGCCGGCTTAAATCTTGAAAAATTTAATCCAATTTTAAGTGAAACCAACCAAATTTGAGCCGCGGCTTAAATTCTTTTAATTCAGCCTCTGTTTAATGTAAAATGAAATATATTTTTTAAATGTGATATTTAGCCAAGTTTATTCATTCATCCACATCCTTCTCACTTTAACTGTATTTGGATAAAGTTTGAGTGTAATTACATTTTTGAAAGGTAAAAATCCACACGATTTGAGTTAAATTTTTGAAAAATTACATATAAGTTAAATAAGTGGTTCTTAGGATGGAAAATTTTAAATGAGGTTTATTATTACAGACAATAAAGAAAATACTATTAGATTTCAGCACGTTTAAATGAAAATGACTTTTTCTTCCTAATTATTACTTAGAAAAAGTTTAAGGGTATCGTTGTGAATTGGAAATAAAATCACATTTACAGTCCCATTTAATCATAAAGTATCAATAATTAATACTGTCGTCTTGTTAATAATATTGTATTATCAAGTATTTCTAAGGGACGGCTTTTCACATTTCAGTTTTTTAATTAAATCAAAACATCAATTTATAACAATTTTTACGCTCTAACTATACGAATGGGGCTTTTTTAGTTTAGTTTTCTCATTTTTTATTGATGATATAACAGCAATTGCAGACCGAACTTTTTTCTAAAATTTAAATTTGCAGTAATTAAATTTTTAATCAACAAAATTATGTAAGAATCCTAAATTTTTCAATAAAAGGATTTACTAATATTTCTAATATGTATACCTCTAAAAGCCGTCTCTGTAAAGTTTATTTGCTGTTATTATTTGGTATACTGTAAAACTTGGTAAATTATTAAAATTAAAAAATAATTTGTAATTTCACTTTAAAGAGACTGGATACGCGAATTTAAGCTACTTTCCCCTTTTATGCATATACAGTCCCTTTAAAGACAATTTTATGAAAGAGTTAAAAATATTTTTCTATGTTAAATGTTAAAATCTGTTTAATGTTGTAATAAAATTTCATTAAAAATATTTCTGAAATGTATATGGAATAGAAATCAGAAATAGTCATTTCCAACTTCTAGAGATGGGCGCGTTGATTTTTTAAATCGTTTGTTTATCGTTCGTTTAACCCCCGTTTCATTTGTTTATTTTTTTAGTCGTTCAAAAATAATTTAAATTCGTTCGTTTTAGAATTGTTGTTCATTTCTCATCTATTTTGTTCGTTTACTAACAACAATCGTTCAATTTAATAATTCATTCAGTGACTATTTAATAAAATCATTCCATCATTAAAAAACTAACGTTATTGTTCATAAGAAAACTTCGTCCGTTCAGTAAAAAACCAATTAATAAATCGTTTATTTATGTTAAAGTTTTTTAATTCGTTCGTTTTTTCTTTTATTGGTTTTCTATAAAACGTTAGTTTTTCGATTTTTCTTTTTTAAACCCTAAGTCTTAGATTATTTTCTGATTGGTTCTGATTCAACCATTGAGAGACTGCTTAGAAAGCATAAGCAGACGGATCAGGTGTGACAAAGTCCAGATTTAAAGATGTAATGAAATTGAGCCTTTTCCACAAACTCTGATTTTCTCATCCCTATATCTTTGCAACCACAAGTCTTGGACCTTAGATCTCTCAAAGTTTAAATTCTGTAAGATGACATAATATAAGTTAAAAATATTAAAGGTTTCCAATATCAGGTTGCAGAAAAATATACAAAATCTATTTTGACATTAATCTGTGTGTGTTTGATATTTAAAGGTGTTTCTAGGGTTTTTAAGTTATGGGGGAAAACCAGACGGCAGGCCAGAGGGCTCCTTTTTTGCAGTCAAAAAAAATTAGACATTTTAGTCTTTATTGGTCAATATTCATTAGAGATAACAAAAACGGCGTTCGGACATTTCATAGAAAGACATAAAAAATACATTTCATAGAAAAATATTTCATAGAAAGACATTTCATAGATAACAATTTTATAGATAGGACATTTCATAACGAAGACATTTCATGGACAGAGAATATTTTCCTAGACAGCGGAGATTTCTTTTCATTTGAAATGTCTTTTCAAGTAGGCCATGTCTTTCTATTACCCTGTCAAAGAAACGGACAGAAAGGTTTTCACAGATGAAAAAGTTGAATTTTAAGTTCTAAAAAGAATTTATTAATTGTTCGTTGTAGCAATGTATATTGGGAGCACTGTATCTACATTTCACTTGGCTGAGAAAAATCTCCTCTGTCCATGAAATTGCTTATCTATGAAATGTCTTTCTATGGCTTCCCAACGCCACGAAAACCGTCTATCAATTATGCTCGAAGAACCCGTTATGTTGCTACCATTGGTATGTTAAAGTACAGTTAATTGGTATGTTATAGTACAGTTAATTGGTATGTTATAGTACAGTTAATTGGTATGTTATAGTACAGTTAATTGGTATGTTATAGTACAGTTAATTATTATAATAAAAGTTAATCCTAATTGGAAGATTGAACGTTTTATTTATCAAAGAAATCAAACTAAATTATTCTTTTATTTTATTTTTAGAGAAGGTATCTATTGGTTCTACTGTGAAGGGTTCTTGAGTTTAGAAGGACAGCTTACCAATAGTAAATATTGTTTATTGTTTTCCGACTAGTTTCTGCAGAGAGGGCCATCATTTTTTGGAATTTGTTCATAAAAAAAATGAGTATTTATTTTGTATTATTTTATTGTATGAGGCTTTATAACAATTTTATATATTTTTGAAATATTCTTATTAATTGAATACTGAAATCTGAATCATTGTGCCTTTTATCGACAAATATTTATATTCTTAGATGTTGAATTTATTTGCACTTCATATTTTTATTATTTTTCATTCCAAGATTTAAAATATTTTTCATTTTGGATTATTTGGATGAATCTTTAAATTGTTTAAAGAAAATACATTTGAAGTTTATATTACAAGACTTTAAATTCTAAATTTCTAAGAATTTCTGACCCTTCTACCGTAGTATATATTTGTTTGTCTTGCAAGTTCGTCTATTATTAAATTTGGTGCCAATAATTCTAGGATCACTGCGGTAATTATTCTTTATATATATATATGAATATCATTTATTTATGTTCTATTATGGTTTGATATCTTGTAAATGTAATGTATTGGTTCCATTCCACAGTTTTTTAATGCCTGAGTTGATTTATTTGTTGTATTGTATGATTTTATCACTCAATACTTTTTCTGTGGGTTTATTAAAAATTATTTAGATTGAAGTCTCAGAGAAATAAATGTTCGGAACCTTATTATTATCCTTTGTTATGAAGAGCGTTCAGAAGAGGGAGTCTTACGATCCAATCCTGAGAAATACCGCACGGTACTTATATAGATTTCATTAGGTCTTTAGGAAAATCGCTAAGTAGCGAAACATTCAATCGCAACCTTGTAGGGTACCGGTTAATTAATTGAGATTGAGCAAAATTTCTCGTTGCCGCTATATTGCCTAAATTGGAAAATATACGGACTGACGTAGGAATAAGCTTACAAGGAAGCTTTATTAAACTGAGATCCTTTAGTAATCCTAACTCTTATCATTTATTAGATCTGTATCTAGTAAATTGAGGCGGGATGTTTAGTTGAGTTTATAAACTGGATTTGTTTCTCGTTGTCAGTATATTGGCCAAATTGGAAAAATATAGTGAAGGACCGAGTGAACAAAGTCTAAGTTATGAAATTGAATGTTAATGGAATGTTCGTGATTGGATGATTGGATGAAAGCAGTTTACCTGAGATTTATGATCCACCGTCTGTACCTTCTTGGTCAATATCTTGAAGGGACGAACACTGGATAAGTCAAGAAGTTTAATTTATTGAGCTATTCCCTCACCCTTAGTATGTTTGCCAGTTGGGAGAAATATATTGAGTGAGTGAGGAGAATAACTCTGCCTTGAGATAAATTGATAAATCATGAATGTTGTTGATCATGTTAAGGATAACAATTGATTGAGTCTAATTTATGAGCTATCTCTCATCCTTAATATATTTGCCAATTCGGAAAAATATGTTAAGTGACTGAGCGGGATAACTCTATTCTTTGAGATTAACTAGATAATCCCTACATATCTTCGTGATTTGATGTGATAGGGCGATAAATTGTTGGATTTGGGCTTAATTTAACCTACTTAATCTTCTATAAATGCCAGATTGGAAATTTATGGGGAAAAGTTTTTAAGTGTGGTGAAATTTGTTTGAGCTCATTTCCTAATTTGCCATGCGGGGCGCAGGGAGGAGAAGGTCTACATCAGAGGGGGAGAGG